GTATGAACCCTGCATCGACTGAAGACCTCTCCCTCGGCAGTGAACTTGATGGCATTGCCGATGACGTTAAGGAGCACTTGGCGAATCCGGACCTTATCGCCCTTGACCCAAGCCGGAACATCCTCCTCCACAATGTAATTCAGCTCTAGCCTTTTAGCAATAGCCATGGTGGAGACTAACTCATTGACATCCTCAATGAGAGAGCGGGTATGGAACCATTCGTATTTGAGCTTCATCATTCCGGCATCGACCTTCGACAAATCCAGAATGTCATTGATGATCATCAACAGACTGTTAGCACTCGTCTGAATGGTGTTGGTGTAGTCTCGCTGCTCTTCGTTGAGAATGGTGTCTTGCAGGAAGCTGACCATTCCTGAAATCCCAATGAGTGGCGTCCGGATCTCGTGCGACATGTTGCTCAGGAATCTACTCTTAGACTCCATAGCCTCCTTGAGTTTGGCTTCAAGTAGTTTGTGGTCGTTGATGTCCGTAGCTGAGCCAAAGTAGGAGCTGGCTCCATTTCCAAAGTCAATGTTGTCGATCTCGACGCACCGGATTAGGTGCCATCTGTACTCTCCATTCTTGGATCGTAACCGCACCTCGGTCGTGTATGATAGTCTGCCGTTGCTGTCGGTTGTCACTTTGATAATACCCTGCCTGGCCAAAGCCGTCAAATCAGCGGTGGGCATCTCGTAGACCGAGCTACTGCTCGAGCTGTTATTCCGTGACAAGGCTTGGTGGATGCCTCGAAGGTTGGTTTCCATCTGGCTTTGCGTTTTGCCCGATACAAGGCTGGCCAACGTCGCCTCAGATGACGCTGGGTCTTGGTGCCCTGTACGATCGAACTTGAAGGGCATCGGCGTTGGTGGTCTGTCTGTGGGTATGTGGCATTTGGCCAGGTCATCAGGATGCACAAAGTCCATGAAACCCAGGCCGAGGCAGTCTTCGAAACTCTGCCCCGTGTACGACAGCCATTGCTCGTTGGCAAAAGTAATACCTTCGTCCTCAGTTGCAGTGAATATGATTTGAGGGATGAGATTGGCCAGAAGTCTGTGCTTTGCTTCTGAGGCCTCAATCTCCTCTTGCCGTGCAGCCTTAAGTTCCGCAATATGTTGGTCATGGATATCCATGTAGGAGCCGAGGAATTGCATCATGACTCCACGTTTATCGCGGGACGCAACAGCACGAGCATAGAACCATCGGTAGGCCCCATCAAAGCGTTTGATGCGAACAGTCCTCGAGAACTGTTCACCAGTGCGTAAGGAATGGCTCCATGCCTTCAGATATTCATCTCTGTCGTCTGGGTGAATGCTGCCCCAAGGATCGGCAGCCAGATCAGAGACTGTCTGACCGCGGTAGGTAAGGTAGCGACTATTGACCCAGACGATTTCGCCTGACTGCGGCAGCGAGACAAAGACGTGAGCAGGCAAAGAGTCTAGTATGAGACCCTTGAGACGATCTGATGGCGGTGGCATGTCTACTGGGCCAACATTTATTTTGCCTGTTCGAGTCGGAGCAGTGTGGGGTACCGGTCTACTGACCACACTTGAGCTAGGTGGTAGCGATTGGAAGCTTGTCGCAAAGTCGGCACCGTAGGAATGCAAGAGAGTGTGATGACTGCCGTCGGAACTTCTCTGGTCAGCTGACTTGAGTCGAGGTTCGAGCACAGCAATTTCGTCGAGATAATTCTTGAGTTCGTGGGAGAGCACTCTCTTGGAACCTCCCGGCGTCGATACTCGGCTTTCGACGTTGAGCTCGACCAGGTCTTCACTCTCCCCAGGCGTCTGAGCAGGCTCCGTGTTAAGAGGCTTGTATGAAGCGGAGAGACGAGCTTGGCGCTTGTCCAGTGGCGAATCTTCCTTTGAACTTCTTCTTGTCCTCTGAGAAGTCGCAGAAGCCATCTCAGCCCTCGAATTGCCCGGCTTCAGCTTGGTGCCAAAGTAGCTGTCTCCCCCGACTTGCGCAGGACTGGTCGCAAATCCAGACTTGTCAACGGCATGATGCATGGAACCAGGCGTGCCAAGTGGGGAGCCAGCAGCACTCTTGGAGACACCTGAGTAATCGCTGGGACTGGTAATGCTGCCCGCGAGCGAACGTTGGGCCACCATGTCATCAGAGGCCATAAAGCTTAGATTGCCGATGCTGGCAGGGTCTGCTAGGGGACGCCCGTCGGCAGCAAGCGCGCCGAACCCGGCAGTGTGAGGCCTGCGCCGGTTGAGACCAGCAAGCTCTGTCTCCAAATTCGTATAATGACGACATAGAGAAAAGGAGGTTGCTAGGTGCGGGGCAAGATACTCTAGTGAATGGCGAAGGTTTGATGGATATGGGATGACGGGACTGAGAATCGACAGAATAGCAATAGGCGCGGGCTTATCTTTGCGCTGCCATGGGGATGAGGCAGCATCGTCATCATCATCGCCGCCAGTAGCGTCCTGGGCTTCACTGCGGCTGCGAGAGTGAGATTTTTGCTCCAGGATGGTTGTGTCAAGCTTGAAGGGATGGACAGGCTTTGAAAGCAGTAGATGTGTCAACGGAATGTGAAGGACTGTCCATGCGTTATCCACGCCAATAGCTTCAGGAGGTCGCATTCCTGCGTAGTCTGCAGGTGCAGACTCGGGGTTGAAAGAGTCCTCATCGACCATGGCATCAGTGAAGAAGGGGTTCTCGTTCGGATCTGCCCGCACGGCTGGAGACGGCGCCGGGGACTGGGACCAAGGCGATGGCGGTGCCTGTTCAAACTCCTCGTATTTGGGGGTGAGTGGGCGTGGCTCGTCCTCGGAAAGTCGCGAAATTATGCTAGATGGCTTGTCACCGCTGTGACTACGGCTAGAGCTCCAGGAGGAACTTGAACCACTCAAAATCGTCGAAAGCTTTTGTGTAGACTCGATTCGGCCCCTCTTCAGCTTTTTCCTTGCTGCCTCAGCCGAGGTCGTGTTGGCTGTCACTCTTGACTTGGCTGGCGTCTCCTCTGGCAAGTTCTGAAGATAGGGGTAACTTCTTGTCAGTGCGATGACCTTGCCTCGTTCAAGAACACGCATGACACCGCCGTGGTCGATGAGAGGATCAGCCTCGTAATCCAGAGCTTGAAGCACAGGAAGCACTCTACCCTCTGTGTCGGATTGAGCGCCAGTTGGAGCCTCCCAGCTCGGTACGTTCTGCTCTTCAGCGTCATGCTCAGCGAGTGCAGATTGGTTCAAAGCTGGCCCGAGTGGCTCTTGGGCCATGTCCTCGGTCGCCTGGCCAGGCGGGAAGTAGCTTTTGCTTCTGCCCAGTTGCGCAGGTCGGCGTGAGGGCAAGAGCCTCTCATTGCTGTTTCCTTTTCGTTCCCTATTCTCCTCATATGTCGTGAATGAGTGCCGAGTTTGGAGACTGGGTCGAGACAACATCCTGGGTCGTGCCGCATCTTCGGGTAAAGGAGGCTCTTCCGAGCCAATGTCGCCGGCGCTACTGGGTATCAAACTGCTTCCCCTTGCCATGTATCCGAGGCTGAGGTCGTCCTCCTGGTGCTCGTTGTACGTTGCCTTCTGACCCCAGGGCACGTTCTCGATATCGGTGGTGTCAGCCGGCACAGCAAGTGTCACTCTCTCGGCTTTGTAGACGTCTCTCATGATTTGAACGACGGTGTTCCACCACGCATCCATTCCCGGCTCGGCATTGAGCATCAGCGACAGATCATAGAGGTTTGGGCTTGGGAAATCGCCCTCCAGTTGGCCAGTGGCTCCGGCGGGGAGAAAGGTAAGGGCCGATGCTGGTGTTGATGAGCCGGACATGACCCTATCTTGAGCAGCGCCGAAACCCTCGAACGACATACCCTGCGCCATGAAAGCGGCCGCAGTAGGGGACATGTTCCCGAATGGTCGATTCATCGCGCCCGGGCCGTACCCCGGCGTATACATGCGCGGGAAGGGGTAAGAAGGAGTTCCCGCGATATGACCGGGCGTCATGCCGCCACGTATGGTGTTGCCGGACTCCGTTGACGTTGTGGTTAGATTGGACGATGTCGTTGCCAAGCCCGCGATTCCAGCCTGTGTGCGCGGCGAGTTGCCACTTTCCTCCTGGATTGGTGAGACGCGCACCTTGTCGGGGGTTGTCGCCATTAAGCCTCTCGTCGCCATCTCGCGCTTCTCCAAGTCTCGTGCCAATCGCTCTCGGTATCGATTTAGTTGTATCTGGGATTCAGAAAGGGCCGGTGGCGTCTCGTCGTCGGTCCCTGCAGCATACTCAGTTTTACTTTTTGGTTCCTTGCCGCCCATGCCACCAGCAACGTCATCACTGGTCCTGGACACACCCGCGCTGCGCTTCAGGTTAGTATCCGGACCAGCACCGCCAGGACTCGTAGCCTTGGTGACGAAGGGTTCGGTTTGCGCCCTGGAGCGGTCGCTGGGCGACTTTGAAGACTGCTCCTTGGACACATCCGCCATTGCGGCTCGCGCATGTCTACCAGTCTTTAAAGAATCGAGTGTCAGTCCATGACGGGGGCTCGGAAGGTTGACGGGCGATTCTTTGGCAGGCGACTTTTTCGAATCGGGCGTCGTTCGTCTTGGAAGGCTAAGCCGACGCGCAGAGGACGAGTCTTTCTTGTCTACTGGAAGGCTCGTGCTTGGCATTCCTCATAGAATAGAGCGCCCCATACACAGAGATGGTGAAGTGTTGGTCGGGATTGGTGATGTCGCTTCGAGAAGGTGTCCGGCCGGGTCGTGACGAACAGTGACGGCGAATAAACGTGTCGTGGCAAAGTCGAAAGAGGAGGTGGACGACGAGGGGTTCGGTCGCGGTATTTTGGAGTGGGAGAGGGGAAAAGTCACGGTTGGAAAAATTCGATCGACGGGATGCGGTGAGGCGAACGAAGGTGACGATCTGGAAGTCGAAGGAAAATGCCGTAAGTAAGAGCGCGTGGTGCAGTGGTGGAGGAAAGATTGCAACGGTCTGGTTTGTATTGGTAACTCGTGGTGAAGGGTGAGGCAAGGTTAGGTAGGTTGGTGTGGGATGGTACGGATGGGATGTGCGTTTGGACTGAACTGAAAGAGGCATGGGCTGGAAGAGAACGGGACTGGGACCAGGCCTACCTAGCAGGTCTTTTAGGACTGGGAATGGGGACAGGAGCAAGTATGCGTGTCCGTAACGCCTATCGTGGTGTGTTGAGGGGCGTGTGCAATATTCCCGGCGCTGATTCTCTTTCTCTTTCAGTTTCTGTCGGAATGGGTCTCCTCAGTCTCTCCTCTCTCTCTATCTTTCTCTTTCTCAAAAGTCTGCGTTGACGGCGGGCCTGACGGGAACGGTGACGGTGACGGTGACGGATGACGGATGACGGAGAACAGGGGGGGCGGGGAGCGGGCAGAAGACTGGAGGAAGCGAAGCGAAGCGAGAAACGCAGCAAGAGGGCGTGGGAATTTGGGAAGGAGAGGCACAATGGACGAAAAGATCAAGAAAGGAAAGGGTGGACGGTCCACCGGGGGCCTATGACGTAGCCCCGGGCCCAGCTGAGAAATAAGGTACCTGACGGGATGGGCCACCTCTGATTCCAACCGCACGGCATGCGAAAGGCGGCGGCGGCGGCGGCGGCAACAAATCACAGTCAGCTTCAGCTGTCCAGTCGCGGAGGGGGAACCAACCAGTCAGTAAACCCTCAGTCGCCAGCGTCGTCAATGTCTCGGTCAACACTGTAGGTAAGCTAGCTGGCTACCCTATTGGAACTGGAATCACCGGCCATTGCCTCCTATCCCGTTCATCAAATCAAGCTCTTTCCCAAGGTTCTTGGGCAGAAAATAGCTAATTACGGGCAGCCACCAAACCAGAGGGAAAGAACCTAAGAAGAAAACACACAGGTCTGCCAACGGGTGCTTCCTTGGAAGATAACTGGTCTAGTGGGCCCGTCATCCCTGCACCATTGAAGTATCGATACTCGGCTTACTCACTCTTTTCGACGTACCGATCGTTCATCTGTCCTACCTTCTTAGTATTCAATAAGGCATTCATGCTAGATGGACCGACAGGACAGTCCTGAATCCACTACAGTTTCGAGCAAAACAACACCACCTCACTCATCAACACATTGCAATCTCCAGCTAAACTACAATTCACACTTCTCGGGCTTCTTTATATAGAGATGTTCTTTGATATACCTCCATACATTTAGCAGTAGCAGCTGGCTATCTACCTTGGTGCACCCGGCCACAGCCAGTGGCCCAACCAGTGCGGTCCGGATAGTCGCATCGTCAACATCCACGATAAAGTCGCGCGGATGTACAACAGTAAAGGTACAGGTACATGAAAATGTACGTGCCCTGGCAAGATGTGGGGAGTCCTGCACCGATACGTGCCCCATTACATCACACGGCGTGGCTGCCGCTGGCCCCCAAGCTCCACACTCGCGGCATCCACTCAAATCTGCCTCTCCGTCTTCGTTAAACCCGTCTATCCTCGATTCATTGCTTCTGGAATCCCCTCCGTCTCGAACTCGTCCGTTTCTGCAAAGGTTGCTGGCCCTGGTCCGCCGCACAGGCAGACGGACATTCACTCATCGCATCTCAATTGTTGGTGCGAATCTGCATCTGAGCACGCAACCAATTCTCTTCCCAGCCTCTACATATATTCTATCCCGGGATCCACCCCCAGACTACGCCGCAGTCCGCACCGCATCGCATAGTGCCCCTGGTAAAGACGCGGCGGCTCACGGCTCGCGGACCTGGGAATCTCGGAGCCAGAAAGGCTGTGAGGCTCCGTCGGATACTGTCCGCCGTTTCAATGGCAACTCCACGTCTCCCGTAACGGAACCCACCCGGCCGCTCACAAGGCCGGGTTTCCCATACCTGAACAGGGCCTTTTCCTTCGCCTCGCACACATGAGCCGCTACAGGACAACCACTAGTCGGCCTTGTTTTGACATATCGAGCGCTCCCCGGACCATGGTGTCTCCGTTCAACCTCCAAGGCAGCGGCAAGCTCATGACTCTCTGCGCTCTCTAACCACCACCACAAACACCACCATCGTATGCGTACCCAAGTTATAACGCGTTGGAGGTTGGCGGGACGTCCTAGACACGACACGGGACACGGATTCCCGCACCTCGACCCAGTATCCAGACGGAACTACCCAGGCAATCCGGCCCGATTTTAGATACCACGCGGCCTTCAAAAACTTCAGACTCGTGGTACACAACGTTTAGATCGACCATCGTGCTCATGGCAAAACCCCCTGCCCTCCCCCGAACTCCGGAACAGGCCGCAAACAAACCAACAACGGCAGCCAGGGCAGATCCCAATGCGCCGCACTGCCGTCAACTCTAACCTGGTTTGCCCACAAAAAATTCAAAACGGCACGATGCAAGGTCGTACACAAATACAACGTCGTTGCAGCAAATTCTCGACTAAGAAGGCATCCAGGGCGATCATGTTCCAACAAAAGACGTGGAAGGAAAGTTGATTTGCCAGGCACAGTATACTATCGTGCAGCAAGTTGAGACTCTGATCGAGTCACGGATATGTCACAATTACGAAGCATCCGTTGACTCCATCAGGTACGCGTACAATACCTCGGACCGCGCATGTCTATCACTTGTCTGGTCTGCGCTCTGGTGACCGCCGCTATTGTTCGACTGAGGTGGTCAGAATTGAATTGTCACACGCTCGTCCGCGTCGGACTCCAGCACTCGTTCCCACTGCAAAGCTACAATTCACGACAAGCTAGCATGGCAAGGTATGCTGGGCCATCTTTTGATTTGAAGGTGGTCAACTGACAGAGTCCCGCCCCGGCTCCCCGCACTGTAATGGACCTGGTTTTTTAATGATTGGGCGACGCTATTTGGTTGTCGCGATTTAAGGCTACACTCAGTTGACGACTGCGATCTGATGAACTCCACCACACCAGGGCAAGAAATTGGGATATGCCCTGGGAAACGGTGAGTTGGAACGACGACGCGGTGATGTCTGCAGCCTTGTTTTGCAGAATTTTCCCGCCCCTTCGACCTGTACCCAGCAATTTGGTATTACGCCGGGATTCACTTTTACTCTATTTGCTCATATTGACGAGCTGATGAGCGAAAACAGGCCGTTTCTTGCCCAGTTCCCATTTACCCCAATCGTGGAACGGCGACCAGCCAAATGGAATGACTGATTAACTCACTTCTGGCATCTCAGACCTCACTAATGCGCGGTATACGGGGCATAACAAGCTTGTCAAGCCATATCGGTGAACGCCATAGGCTTAGTTACGACGGGGACGTGATCATTAGTGGGCTAGCTAGATGGCACCTGTTCCAGAAAAGAATGTGGCCATCCCATTCTGGCTCTGCAGCCGGAGCGGGTGTCACGCCGCCAGGGCGCCGGTTATTCACTAACCTCCACTGCTAAACAAGACGCGATAACTTCGGACGTGGCTGGCCACTGGACTCCTCGAAAGGGGGACGGCGATGCTGCCGCGGCAGGGTTTCCGTCCACGTTTGATTGGCGGCTGGGCCACAGCTCAGGCGGGCTTGTTTCCATTCAGTGTTTGTCTGTCTGGCATTTGCGCCAAATGCTCCCTTCCTTCCCCTTTCCCCCTTTTAGTTTCCTCTTGCAAGTTTCAATAGCAAGCAACCACTCACTTGGTCATTGACACGAACGGAAGGTGTGCTCGCTATTCCCAACACTCGTGGATAGCACAGCTAGTCACGCGACCCGCCCTACTTCCTTCTCTCCATGAAATCGATAGCAAAGGCAAGAGGCTCTACGCTGACGGCATGGTGCAACATCGACACTTCTTGCCTTACTCAGAAACGCATACTCTACCTTACCAACTCGTCACTTCATAGGAGAGACAACGATGGGTGATGGGCGAAGTTACTTGCTACACTACAGACACAGCCAACGCCTTTTTCTCGACCCTGAATCCAGGTTGGACCCCTTATTTGTGCCTACATGTATACAGAGAACAAGACAACATCCTACAGCATCAAGACAAACTCATCGAGCTAACGGACGCTGCTCCGGATACAAGGGAGAGCTTCAGGTACTTGGATGAGGTACTCCGTACGGCAGAGCCAATTTCAATCACATCGCGCTGTCAGCAACCCACAAACCCCAGCGAAGACCAGAATATGGTTTGAAAGGAGAGTCAACTCTTATTGAGCCTAGCTCACGGCTTGCGCAGACGCTCCTCTCCACAGGCCACAGGGCAGACTGGTCCTTTTCGACAACGCATGACCTTTCAGACCCCTGAAGCTTGTCTCTCTCACGCTAAATGAGGATAAAATGACGTCAACATACATCGTAGCTTTCTCGATATCGCCCTAACTGCAATGGGAATCCTGGCCCTGGAAGGCCGGGGAATGGGAACCCCCTCCCAGTCGCAGAGGCGCAAATGTACCACTGTACCAACAACCTAAGGTACCGCAGTACAGGCACCACAGGACATCGCATTGCGGCGGATTGCTGCATTTCTCCATCATTCGAGCCTCCTTTTCGCAGTACCCTACGTAGTATACGAATTCCCTTTGACACCTGGGCTACTTATCATCTTGGCTCGTGATTGGCCAACTACACAACCGATGCAGTCAAAATCAAATGCGAGCTTGGCCTCACTCCCCAATCACATTGGTTACACAAACCGATTTCCGGGAGACCATCGTCCCAACATAACCATCACCGCGGACCTGACAGCTTTTTCTGCCCAGCGCTTGAGCGCCTTGAAAGCAGACCATCGAGCCCCAGGCCCCATCTCGCCTGTTCCAACACTACTGTACTCCGTACCAAGGTCACCTCCTCCCAGCTAGACACTAATTGAGACGGCAAGATCTGTCAGTCGTGACCATTGTGGTAGGTACTTCGTGAGACTATCACGAGATTAACAGCGCTCTAGAAGCCTTCCCCTTCCGTCCAACCCAGCCATGCGCGTTTCCGCCGCTATTGGGCCCAGGTGGGACTTCTCAGCATACGACCAAGCCAATCATCAAGGACACGGCGCGACAACGCAGTTTTCTTACCTATCCGCATTAGTTGGCATGCAGGAGTCCGATATTTGCCAGCCACGACGGCGCTCGTGCTATATCTAAAAGGTAGGTTGCGGCAGGCACGCATGCACATTACACACACATCATCTATACCCCGCTACACGCAGCTCCCGTCTCCCGTCGCCCGTCTCCCGCCTTCAGCGTGCCACGCGGGCATCTTTCTCCGGCTTTAGTCATCATAGACCGTCCGTATACTACAGTGAACGCCAGCCCAAATATCTGCGACCAATCGTTCAGACGGACGTGGGGAGCACGCCCGTCATTCCAGCCTGAACTTGGGATGAACTGAGACGGAAGCCACCAAGTGGCGTACGAGATCTGAAATTCGGGAAGGGGAAAACGAGTTCAACTTGTCTTGCAACGCGTTCCCGAGACCGCTGAACGGCGGAAGCAGCGGGGAGGCCGGTATCTCGTTGCGAAACCCGCAGCGTTTGCCTTGATCTTCACTGAGATTTTCTTGTTCCTGTCCGCATGCCAAGATTTTGCCATGTCAAGATTCGAGGCCCGGAACCGACAAGACGGCAGCATCGGCACCAGGAAATGTTTGAAAGCTGATCCCCGTTTTCACACAAGCCACAAATTCCAGCCACCCATTGTGGCTGGATTTTACGTCTCAGCCACGAACACTCTAGACCTCAGCACATCGCGAGCTTCACTTTGGAAATCTGTCTACCGTACTAACGCCTTGGTGGATCCCTTGTCCTCGAAAACTGAGGTTCAAATCCACAGGCAGTGGTTCCCAGGCGTCCGACTGGTGTTAGCGGGCTTATGAGATGGAGCACACCGCGTGGCGCATGCCTAAGTCCATAGCTCCTCGACATTTCGCCCTCCTTTAAGCGTGGCGGCGATGGCGGATGGCACATTGACCAACCAATCAATCAGAATGCGCTGAAATTTCCTTCTGTTGCCCCGAAAAGCCTCAAACGTGTCCCGAGTTGATGGATGGGGGCCCGGGAAAGGAGTTTTGCAGTTCTTGCTGGCTAACGCTTTGTGGACAAGTCCCAGCCGCCCCCGGACGTTAGCGTCGACAGACGAAAGCTGAGACGGCAGATGAAAGTCATTTCTCTGCTTTTTCAAGACCTAAAGAGTACGGAGTACGGAGTACATGGACGTTTATCGTCGATCTCGATGAAAGTACCAATTGGTTTCCACTTTGCATTTCGCCGGAGACAGTTCCAATCCCTTAGCCTGAGAGGCTGGCTAGTTGCCCCCGATCATGTTCGATTAAGTTTCTGGTCTCGAATCCCAGCTGTCTGGTCGCGTCTCCTGGACTTTGTTCGTGTCACTGGTAGACTCGGCCGAGCAGGAGGTGCTTTGATGGACTCCTCGCGAGAGGCTTGTTGTTTTTGAGATTGACCCGGGCTCTGCCAATGTCGTAGGACCGACTACTCTGCCTTCCGCCTCGTCCTGACCCAGTGATGATCCATGGCAAATATGACCGTAGTTGACATGAATTCCTTCGTACATACTAAGAGCCAACGTCAGGAGGAGGCTCCGGACCACCCTTACACACAGGCCCACTGCAAGATAGTCTTGCCTCATCTACCCACTTCTCGAGTCCTTGTACGGATAAAGGGGGGGGTTCCTTCTCGAGTCTTGACGGGTAATGCTTAGCCGTAGCGCCAGGATTGAAAACTGACAGATCCTGTCCATGAGAATACGTATGATCCTCCTCTAGTGCCAGTTGAGAACCGGTTTCCTGAGAACCAGGGCAGACGGCCTAGCTGTTGCGGAATATCTACAGCAATACTCCTTGGACTAGAGCTGCCTCCTGTATTCGATGGCAGAAATAAGCCCATAGAAATTTTTACATCGTGCTCGGTATTCACTGCGCCGCGGCGTTCCAGCCATCCACCCAAACAACATTTCCACTGAACCGGCGAGGAACGCCCCACTGGGCCCGATATCAGACTGGCAAAAATGCAAAATAAAACATACAACACCAGGTATTCGCTGGTCGTCACCGACCCAACTACTAATCCGGCCCTCATTGGCTTATCTATGGGAGAGCGGACGGGATCCCGAGTTTTCCAATGGGTATGGTCGTATGTGGTCGTTTGGCGATGCAGAGTTGCTAATATCGTGACTGCAAAATCATGTGATGCTGGTGTTGCGGCTCTACCATCCATCCCCCACAATGGATTCAAAGAGCCTTTTCAATGAGACCAACTATTTTACTGGTGTAGAAGTCCTCAACTTCAAGATCTCAGTCTTTGTGGTTTATTTATGGTGTGGTGTTTTGGCGATGTCAATTCCTCGCATTCTCAGCCTCATTTGTTTTCCCCGCCCTGAATTCGAGATGATCTAGTCAATAATGAAATGAACACACGTTACAGATTCCATCCGAATGGTTAGCATAAGCTCTATTATAATCGTCCTTTTTGTTGAATGACAAGCCCGTTTATCTTTAGCTGCTCTGTGCTATTCAACAGGAATCCACATTTCGTAGTACATCTCTACTCCACTACTACTACTTGAGCAGCACGGGAACATATAATCGCACGGAACACCACACGCGAAACCAATCCAATATCATCTCAGGTAATCGGATATTTTCAAGCTGCTTTGCTTTATTGACATGATACCTGGATCATGTTCCACACTCCCGGATTGCTGTGCGCATAAAAATAACGACCTCTTAGGATGGAAGGAGATGAATTGTGTTTACGAGATGTTGCGATAACTATCAGTCAGAGTCTCGACTTTGTGATCTCCGCTCCAGATGACTGCAACTGTATAATAGGACGGCAACCTCTAGTAAGTATCGAACCTCTAGTAAATATTGATTTATCCTGGCCATGTCATCGCAGCATCAGAGAGATTCCGATAGAAAGCTTATGATAAATCAGCAAACCTCGACCTCTTTGAAACACACGGAAGATCGAATCATGGAAACGTGAGTACACCTACTCAGGAGGAGTCAACAGCGAACATGCAACCAAAAGCCTCCTCTCGGTTGGCTCTGGTGAAGAAGGGGTTGAGGGAAAACCCGGTTCAAGAGGGATAAAATCTTTGCCAGGTTATAGGGTCCATGGCTGTTCGAATACGAGATTTGTCATGGCGAACTTCACAAAGGCATGAACCTCTTGTCTGTTTTCCCTCGAGATACACCTTGCTACCTATGCGGGACCAACCAAACAGCCTCAAAGAGGGCTCCTGCCAGAGTGGTGTTCATCAACATAGTACTCTCATACCAGCAATCTAGTGTCATTGAGAGATATAATTCCTTTCCATAGATGACGTACTCTGCAACACAGGTCAAGTGATGCACAGGAAAGTGGTGTTCATCAACATAGTACTCTCATACCAGCAATCTAGTGTCATTGAGAGATATAATTCCTTTCCATAGATGACGTACTCTGCAACACAGGTCAAGTGATGCACAGGAAAGTGCTAAGACCAACACTCGAACATGTTGACTTCCTCAAAAGATACATGAAAGTGATGTTCGAAGTGTGTATAGAGAATAAGTAGCTTCGAACGAGTGATGTGCCCAGGATAACGGCAAAGAGGGGTCACTCGGATATGTTTCTCCATAAGCCATACTAATCACAGTCTTCGCCAACTCTCACGTGTCACTTGACCGCCCTGGACCGGATTTCACTTCTCGCCGCACCGATAGAAAGAATTGGGTACCTATATCAGAGGAGAATACGATCTGGTGCTGGGGTCTGGGGCCCGTACGCCTCAGTCTCGAAGGAGTCCTGAGGGTCTTGCGGCGTGGATTTTGCTGGATGGTGTTGTGTCAGCCAAACACTCTCGATGATATATACACAGTCATGCGTATTAGTATACCGTCTCGTCTTTGGAAGGCAGGCAAGCTGCAGTCTCAACATGGCGTCTTGGCTAGTTATATATTCACCACTGTCGAAACCCACGGCGGCACTCACCATCTGAAGCAAATTCTCGTGAAGCCTACCTAACCTTGTACTTCTTCCAGGAAGCTGTACGCGGGACTTCGCGAATCGTACGAAAGGAGCGACTAGCGTGACGGACGAGAAGGTTACATTACCAGTAGAGGAAAGACAGACTCGTTCGCTCGGGGAAGCAGCATTCGGCCTGAAGGATTTCAGTTACTCGGTGACCAAACGCGACCTTGAATGGCTTTAAATTACATGGATGAAAGGGTAAGCCCGGAAACCATCAACGAGGACCTGACGTGGTTTTCCCAGCCGGCTCAGTGATATTGGAAATTGAGAAATGCGCTAAGCTGGAATGAGGAAATACTCTGACGTGACAGCGTCTCGCCAAGGTGCAAAACAATCACTGAATAGGGCAGAGAACAGTTTCACGGGCTGCTCGCATGCTTTTTCCTTCAATCATCCAAGGCTGGGTCGCCTCGGAAGACCGGACGGCTAAGTTCCCCACTCTCATTGGACCGGCGCCGATCCGGATAGAACCGCGAAGCCGAACCCCCGGGAGCTCCGGGGTTCGGGTGTCCCCTGTCATACCCCACCATAGCTCCGCCAATGTACCTATTTCGATACTGGAGGATGCGGCATCGTGGATATCTCACTACGATTATATATATGCAACATGGTAAGCGATCTTCCCATCCCGAATGCGGTGCAGCAAATGAGCGTACTGATCAACGCAGCAGCAGAAGGATATGACTGAGAGTGCTTGCCACTATCAAGTCAACTTCGAGAACTCAAGTTCATAATGAAAAGCACATTACAATGTCAAGTGACCCGGGAGTAGCCGTTGCGAGATTCCCTTCACTACATCTCACAGGGGTGATGGCTTGGGCTGAATCAAACCCGTCTCTGCGGGGACTTGAAGGCTCATGGAATTATTTAAGGGAAAGTACTCGCATGCGCCTGCACCAAGCTCAATGAAATCTGCCAAGCACTCAGTAATTAAAACAGGCTGTAAGGGCAATAGTAAGTTGCATGTGAAGCACCACCAACAAGGGTGTGCATTACACGCCTTCTGATTGGCTGTGGTCAAGGAGCTTCCAGGCCTAAAGTGCGAGGCTGCGATCTTTTCCTCATAGCCTTGTGGCGCCCACTTTCACTTCTTCCAACTCACCTGTCCGATCACCCATTGATTTCTTACGCAAATAATCCGCGACCTGCTAGACGTCCCGCTGGGTATTTGCGACCGCTAAACTTACGAAATCGAGCGACCGAAACCCGACGTACGAAGCAATACGAAGATCGGGGCCTCCGATCGACGTCATCCATCATGGCCGACTCCGATGGCGAGTACCATGACATGTCTGATGATGACTTGCAGGTGACCAACGGTAGAGGCGGCGATGCGAGAAAAGGTGGAAAGAAGGGCAAAGGCGGCAATTCCAAGGCGCGATGGGAGGAGGTCAAGCGAAGTTGGGAGCAAGTCACAGAGGGCGCTGACGGCAGTCTCGCGGTCGGGGCAAGCTTGGAGGCCGAGAAGAGGAGGAGGCTGCTGAGAGACACAACGCCACTGCAGCGCGGCATTATCAGACATCTGGTGCTGGTGCTAGACATGTCATTCGCCATGACCGAGAAGGACATGCTCCCGAACCGCTATCGTGTAGCCTGGGCGTACGCGGCCGACTTCGTGAAGGAGTACTTCGAACAGAACCCAATCTCGCAGCTGGGCATCGTCGGCATGCGGGATGGCGTGGCTCTACGAATCAGCGAGATGAGCGGCAATCCGACAGACCACCTGGAGAAGCTGAAAGAATTCGAGGGCCAAGATCCGTCAGGCAACCCAAGTTTGCAGAATGCGCTTGAGATGTGTCGCGGTGCCCTTTTGTACGTGATAACGCCATTCCCTAAGCTTTACAGACAGACACTGACTCTGACCCGACAGCCACGCACCTTCCCACGGCACACGAGAAGTCCTAATAGTATTTGGCGCCCTCCTCTCCTCCGACCCGGGCGACATCCATACCACAATAGACTCCCTCATATCCGATAAAATCCGCGTTACCATCGTCGGCCTCGCGGCGCAGGTCGCCATCTGCGGAGAACTATGCACCCGCACCAACGCCGGCGACGACACGCAGTACAGCGTCTGCATGAACGATGCCCACTTCCGCGATCTCCTCCTCGCCGCCACGACCCCCCCCGTTACCCGGACGGCCGCCCAGAGCACCGCTTCTCTGCTCATGATGGGCTTCCCCTCGCGCACTCTCGCGCAGGGCGAGACGACAGCCGTATGCGCCTGCCATAACAAACCCGCCCGCGAAGGCTATCTCTGCACGCGATGCGCTACCCGCGTGTGTCGTCTGCCCATCGAGTGTCCCGCCTGTAGTTTGACGCTCATCCTCTCCACCCATCTCGCGCGCTCATACCACCATCTCTTTCCGTTACGGAACTGGATCGAGGTCCCCTGGGCCGCGGCCGCCAAGTCGAGAGCATGCTATTCGTGCCTCACCAACTTTCCGGAACCGCCCAAGGCCTCCAAGAAGAAGGACAAGGGCAAGGACCAAGATGGCGTGGCTACGACGACAGGGCCCGTTGCCCCAACCCCGGTGAAAGCGGCAGAGCTGAAGGGGGTTAGTGAAAGCGGACGGTACGCCTGCACGGTGTGTGATAATCACTTTTGCATCGACTGCGACGTCTACGCGCATGAGGTCATTCACAACTGCCCTGGATGCCAAAGTGACACTCGTGGGGCGGCGATGGAGGTAATTAACGAGACGAATGGGACGCATGAGCATCAAACCAATGGAACGGCTATGGTGGTGGACTCATGACACTAACAGATATATGGGAAACGGAATATAGGATGGTGGATCTTGGAGGAAGCGTGGAGCTCCCATGGAAGAGAGAGAGAGAGGAAGTAGCGCTCTGGCTAGAGTTGGCCAACACTCGGCAGTTTGCATTTGGACAAACGGATGGCAGCATCAACGGAGCACAGGAATTGGAGAAAAGAGTTCATCGGCGCAAGAGGTCCAGGTAAGGACCATGTTTTTAAATATACCTATCGTACCCTGCAGAACCCCCTCAACAAGAAGTTGGCTGGCTGAGAGATGAGCATCATGGCCTCACGTTCGACACCATCACGAGTGCGGATACGAACAATTGTGTGATACTGACATGAGGTTTAACTTGGTTTAACTACCTGTTTCTGCTTTACAAGTTTCCACGCTCGGCCTGCTCGCGCTCAATAGCCTCGAACAAGCTCTTGAAGTTACCGGCACCGAAACCCTCAAAGTGGTTGCGCTGGATAATCTCAACAAAGACGGTGGGGCGGTCCATGAGCGGCTTAGTGAAGAGCTGAAGCAAGTATCCCTGCTCGTCGTAGTCGATGAGAATGTTGAGCGCCTCAATGGTGGCGAGGTCCTCCTTGAGCTCCCAGTTGCGCTTCTCCGTCTTGAGGCGGTGGCGCATGGTGTCATAGTAGGTCGAGGGGACGTTGATGAACTCAACGCCGCGGGCGCGCATGGCCGACACGGTGGTGATGATGTCCTGGGTCAGCAGGGCAATGTGCTGGACGCCGGCGCCCGAGTTGAAGACGACGTACTCCTCGATCTGAGACTTCTTCTTGCCGGGCGCGGGTTCGTTGATGGGCATCTTGACCATATTGTTGGCCGAGGCCATGACGATGGAGTTGAGGGCCGAGAACTCTGTGCAGATTTGCGAGTCGTCGACGGACCAGAAGCGGTGGAAGGACAGGCACTGCTCGTAAAAGGCGCAGGCCGACACCATTTCGTTCCAGGACTGGTTGCCGACGCAGTGGTCGATCCGGGCCAGGGGCACGTTGGGGAGGGTGACGGTGGCCGTGGTGGGCTTCGCGGCGCGGAAGCCCGGGAGGAAGGGACCCGAATATCCGTTGCGGGAGATGAGCGTGTGCGTCGTGTCGCCGTAGGTGCGGATGACGGCGGTCAGGACGTTGCCGTGTTCCTTGTCCTTGAGGACGGTCGGGGGCTGAACGGCATCGGCGCCCTCTGAGACGGCCTTGTTGTATACGCCCTCGACATTGTCGACCTCGAAGGCGACATCCTTTACGGCGTCGCCGTGCTTCTCGAGGTGAGCGTGAATCTCGCGCAGGAGCTCTCGCTCCGCGTCTGAGATGGGCTCATCCTCGGGGAGGTGGGCCAGTGATCGCACCGGGGAGGTGAAGACGAAACGGACGTCGTTGTTGGCGACGGCGTACGAGGCGATATACCTGCTGCCCGTTTCGAGGCCCTTGTATGCTACGGTTTTGAAGCCGAAGAGAGTAGTGTAGTAAGCAGCGGCCTGCTTGGCGTTGCCAACCCACCAGGTTACGTGATCGTAGCCCTGGAAGTTGGGCGGCGGATGCTGTACTGCGAGTCCATCGCCGAGATCTGTTGATGCCGGGTAGGCGGCTTGCTGTGGCGGGGAGTCTGTGATAGCAGAAGGGGACATTGACACTCAGAAGTTTTCGGGGGTGACAGGACTAGGGTCAAGGAGTATGAGAGTGTGTAAGTGCGTTGTGATTCTCTGATAAGAGGCAGACAGAGTCGATGGTTAAATCTAGTGAGATTGTAGACGTTGCTCGTTGAGGAAAAGGGGGGGAATTGTCCGTGTTATGTACGTTGTACCGTCTATCCTTATATGTACCAAGACACTGACACTGTATTATCATATATGAACCTTATTCAACGACGGACTTCCGCCTTTGGAGGACAAGGACTTGAGTAATCCTGCATTCCACGCCCGCAGATTGGTGGCTCCCCGTCGCCGCATCTAACGCTTGTCACTGGCCAACCTGCCCTCCCGGGCGGGGGTAGTCTCTAGATCCTGTCTCTGTCCACAGTCCTTGCGCATAGGCAATTCGTGACGGGACGGGCGCCATCCTAGAATGGCTTCGATACCTGGCAGTAGCGTCCCGAAGTAGAAGGAGAGGTTGGCAGCGGTAAAGCGTAGAGTCGGCGGTACAGCGTTGAGGTGAGATGCCAATCGCAAGCGGAAAGGCGCCGGCCGAGTGTGATGGCCGCGGTGAGCCGCGATAAGCCGCCGCTGGCCGGCCCATGTGCGGCGCGGCTTTGACGGGTTCCCCACCCATGCTTCGGATGCTCCAGGCTATGCCCGCCATCCCGCGCAGCACCCTCCCAGATTCAACCTGGAATACAAAGAACAGGAGGGCACAGGCGACCAAGCCGCTGTTTCCGTTCATCCTGGGGAACGTCTGGGCTCCCTGCTTGTGGGATGGGTGGGGTACCCACCATGACGGCATGTGCCTTATCTCATCGCCTCTGAAACCCTTTCGTAGCCGTCGCAGTGCGGAATGTGAGCATCTGCTGCTTGGCCCCCCGCTGAAGCCGCTCGAAAGTGTTGCGTCTGATAAAGGTTGCCGTGCTGCCAGCCAGTCCTGGCGGTGTTTGTCACTTTGGAGATCGGAAAAAAGCGTAGTCGGTCCATCATCACGCATCGCAAAAAAGTTCGATTTATCTCGAATCTGTTCCTTCGACAAAGAACATCAGTATTCTTCCCAAAGTTATTCAATCTCCAATTCAACACTGCAAGATGGCTTCTGTGGACCTGACTCGACGAGACGTAAACGTACTTGACAAGATCAAGGACCCCGAATCCGATCCTTCGGCGAACGTCCTCCTCGACCCATCCCTGCCCCGGGATCCTCACATCGCTGATGCCGCTGTCTACGAGCGAGTGATACAGAAGGAGCGTGAGATCATCATGTCCATGCAACAGCTCGAACTTCAATTGGCAGGATTGCGGCCGAGAACTGTATCTGAACCAGTGCAAGAGTACAAAGGACTTCTCTCGAAGCTGGACGACTTCATCGAAGCGTACCCCAACTATGCCAGCGCGAGGAACAACCGCGTACAAGCGCTGAGGCGGCTGTACGGAGACACGATGCTGTTGGCGGGAGCACCACCAACGCCGCAGCGGCTCGTACAGGCGCCCGAAAGCGCCGAGTTGATCCGGTACTCAAAGATCGCCCTGGAAGATAGTGAAAAGTCTATCTCCCTCTTGACGCCGCGTACAATGTTCGGCGCCATGTCGCCTCAGGCAGCCAAGACCCTATCGCTAGCATACACGCAGCGCGCCGCCATCTACCACATGACTGCCAAGCTCGTAGAGGAGCACAGCGTACAGGTCGCGGAAGGGAGGCGAGAAGCCAGCTGGACGAAGCTTGTGTTCGAGGAGGCGGCGTCTCGGGACTTTGCCTATGGCGGAAGGTACGGCAACGAGATCGCTAAGGGTCTGGCAGTGAGCACGAATCCCACGGCGAAGCTGTGCGGGCAGATGGTCCGGGAGGCGATGAAGAAGGAGTATGGGCCGTCCTACGGCGAGTAAGGGTGTATATAGTATCAACAAGTTGTAATGTAAGCAAAGGCGGTTGAAGCGTCGCATCTCCTCCCTTGCCAATGGCTGTCACTATGAGTGCCTATGCGGAAGCCTTGAGAAGCCCTAGACGTCTAGGTATCCGATTGGGTTAGTCAGAGGTCGTACCAGTGTACTGCTGATAGACACCGTACCTCTTCGCCGCCACAATGGTCTCTTGTGTAGTCTTGCCCTTTTCCTTCTCCTCGCGATTGATTCTCGTCGCAGCGGCACCAAGTCCAATCACCAAGGCAAAGATGGGGTCCGCGACCTTGGAGATGATATACGCAGGTGGAGGAGCCATGGTGTGTGTTTGCGTATTGTCGTCGTCGTCGTCGTCGTCGTCGTCGTCGTCGTCGCGGGAGGTCGCGTCGTTCGTGGGGCGTGGTAAAGCTAGGCTGTTGTTGAAATGGATCGGAGGAAGTTCGCGATGAGCTCCGTGGCCAGCTTGGGAAGTGGAGCAGACTGAGCGCCGTACGGGCACGGTACCTGGGTACCAGTGGCCCGTCCAGTAGAGCTCCAGCGCGGACGCTGGTCAGTGGAAGTGTCCTTCCACTGCCAACGGCCCCCACTTGCAGCACCACCCACCACCAGTGATTCGCCTATTCCCCAGTGAAATTTCAACCACGTGACCGGGCACATGCTTAGGTCCCTCCCTCCCACGGATCAATTTTGAAATTTCCTCTAGGTTATCAAATCCAGGATCTCACGTCGCAGCAACTTTCACCAACCGCCCAGTACGCCCAGCACCCACCGACAGCGCAGGTCAAAATGAAGTTCCTCAAGGTCGGCAGAGTCGCCATCATCACCCACGGCCGTTACGCCGGCAAGAAGGTACGATTATATACGAAAATTCTCGAGAAAGCCTACCCCGTCGCAGTACTATTTTCAACCCCGACTTCGCGAGAAGGAGGGGCGCGGATGAAGGTCACCCAACATCGATGTCGAGGAGTGTGAAAGTGTTTGGCCAGGGAACTATGGGAAGGAAATTATGGCGACGACTATACGAAACGATCCCGAATTGCGAAAAGAACAGGAGGAAACACCGGTCCGACCAAACACTTTTTACACTCTTCGAGCGTCCGATATTTTGGGTTGAGGGCATCCACGAAATTTACTGCGGAGGACAATGGTGGATTGTGTTGGGGCACTTGCCCACACGTACACATCCAATAATCCCGAGCGATTGCTAACGTTCCTCTCTGCAGGTCGTCATCATCCAGCCTGTCGACTCTGGCAACAAGGCTCACCCCTTCGGCCACGCCCTGGTCGCCGGCATCGAGCGCTACCCCTCCAAGATCACCCGCCGCATGTCCAAGACCCGCCAGGAGAAGCGCAACAAGATCAAGCCCTTCGTCAAGCTTGTCAACTACAACCACTTGATGCCCACCCGCTACACTCTCGAGCTCGAGGGCCTCAAGGGCGTCGTCAGCAACGACACCTTCAAGGAGGTCACCCAGCGTGAGGATGCCAAGAAGCAGGTGAAGAAGGTTCTGGAGGAGCGTTACACGAGCGGAAAGAACAGATGGTTCTTCACGCCTCTGAGTATGTCACTCTCTCTCCTCACATCCAACGTTTGCCATCTTTCCTCCGGGGGCTCCCTTCCCCGCGAGGCAGAGGCTATGCGTCGGCTACTGGCAATTCGTACATGTACTAATACCAACCACAGGATTTTAAAGGACAAACTGTTTTCTGCAATCGTCAACAGGTCGGGGAGTTGGGCTGGCTTGTAAAGAGCATCAATTGGCATCTGAGGTCCTCGGTTTAAGGGCTCCCAATGAGAAACCATTGAAATCCAAGACGTTTGCCCTGTGGTACCTCAACAAACTGGAAAAAATGCCGCCGCGCTGCTGCTGTGACCGGAAGAGTGATAGACACAAAAGAAGTGAGAGTAAAAAGGGGTCAAGGGTCTATGATGACTGATGGGTATGATTCAGCCCTCGGCCGTGGGATGGCCATGATCAATGGAACATGAAATAAGCAAGTCAAACCAACTTTTCCAGCCAAATCGAGTCGTGATAGTTGCTATGGTCCCTACCTAGGTATGCTGAGTGCTTTCAATTTCATGCCATCAATGCTCGGCAGCCCACCGGCTCAGTTGCGGTGCGACCCACATAACTTGTTGCACAAAATATTGTAACCCACCCACACAACCCTCTATTACAAGCCAAGACCGAATTGCTGAAACCACGGCTCACGTTAGATGTTGAGACCATCGCCGTTTAGATTGAGCGCTCTTGTGGTGTGATGTTGTTTTCTGGCCTGATGCATCATAATTGCTGAGGGTGACAGCTATAAGCTAGAAACACTCTTACTGGCCGAAGCTACTTTTCCATTCGCGAACTCAAGTTTGGCATGCCTAGTAAGTGGTCTCAAGTGAGCCGAGTCGATTTGTGTTTCTACACCATTGGCATCCAAGTTTCGAACCCCGCGCACATCGCCTCATGTCACCGGTCATTTCATTGCGGAATACCGCCGTCCTTTGCTTTAAGCTTTGTGTATCATTGCGTACGTACATGTCTATATCCTCCTCCGTCTAGAGTACATCAGATTAGAACTTCATGATGCAAGCTATGCAACCTGGTCCCTTTTGCGCTCTGCGCCGTTGCTCTATAGCTGTACACGGGTGTAACTCCCCAGTCAAACAAAAGTCGGTTCCGTTTTCCGGATTAAAAAAGGAAGAAAAAGAAAAAAAGGTCAACAGTGAACATGGGTGAAAGGAAGTTCGTAATATGTACTCAGAACAGGGTAATAGTCGCGTAGAGAGAGTTTGGTATCATCACATCTCTACGCCCACAAATAGGAAAATGACAGGCCAAAGAAAAGATGCTATCGCCTTCTATCCCATAACCTATGCCCTGCTGCTGCCGAAGTGGCTGTTGACCTCGTTGATGAGGTTGTGGGGGTCGTACTCGGGAGCGTACGTCGGTGCCAGGCCACCAAGCATGGTGAAGAGCACGAAGGCGGAGAACACAATGATGGTAAGCTTGCGAAGAATCGGCTTGCGCTGGCCGAACTCGGCCCACTGGCGACCGCCCTCACCCATGTAGCCCTTGATCTGCTCAAAGCCGAGCTTGTAGTAGACCATGCCACCGAGGGCGATGCTGTATCCGAAGAACTGGAGACCAGAGACCTGGGTGCCCCAAATGGCCATGGAGGCGGCAACCAGCATGACGTCCTTGAGGACACCGCAGAGAGTCAGGACCAGGGAAGAGGTCTTGCCGATCTGAAAATAGTGTTAGTAACGGTGATTGGGGGATCTTGAAGGCATCAAAACTTACCAAAAAGACGACAGAGACGTTCAGCAGGAAGGCGCAGAGACCGTTCAAGAAGAAAGTGAACAGGCCAACGTTGTACACCTGGTCCATGGTGACCTTGGGAATCTCCCAAATGAGAGCAACAGCCAAGTTCATGACAGCGCAGATAGGAGCGAAGTAGTAGACGGAAACCAGGGGGTCCATCTTGTAGTCGGCAGAGCTGAGCAGGCGCTGGACCATGGTCAAACGCAGGGCCTCGAAGATGACACCACCAATCTGGAAGATGACACCAATCCAGACGAACTTGATCTCGCCAATGGAAGCAATGATGACACCAACGACGATAACGGAGACGTTCAGGAAGACCTTTAGGTTGGGCGTGGAGACACCAAGGGCCCATCCAGAGAGGAGGACAGCGACGGGGGTCGTAGCCTTGAGCATCTGGATGAAAGCAACCGAGAGGTACAGGTAGGTCAAGTTACCGCAGATCAAGCTCAAGCTGAAGAAGACACCGATAGGCACGATGGCACGCACGTAGACACGGCCAGTCATCTTGACCGACTTGCGTCCGTCGAGAACGTGAGTCCAGCGAGCGAGGATCTGGGTCATGATGGTCGCGAAAGTCAAGTGGTAGGTCGTCAGAATAACCGGGTAGCCTGTGGTTAATTAGCATCCTGCCTAGAGCTCCAAGCTGTCGTCTCGATCGGCTTACGGAAGTTGAGGGTGTCGAGAATCCATTTGTTGAACAGAATGACGGATGAGGACAGCGAGATCCAGACACTGCGAGAGGATTGGGTCAGCCAACTTTCGCAACAGCGGAAAATCGAGGTTCTAGTTTCTTACATGACGTAGAGAGCGGGATGGATCTGAGGACCCTTGGATTGAGGAGACGACTTCTCGGCGTCCTGGTTCGTGGTAGGCAGGATAGAGCCGTTCTCTCCACGAGGAACCTCGCCTGAAACGCGCGTCTTCTCGTCGGCACCCATTGTGACGGTTTGGCGTGCGGAATGGGGAAAAGGGTGTAGGGGACGAGTGGTTGAGGTAGGCGGAGGATTGATTGAGGTCGTCGGTAGCGGCGATTGATGTTGATGTAGGAGCAAGTTGATACAGCTCGGGAGCAAAAAAAGACGAGACGCGCAAAAACGAGAGCGAGCGAGTGGACGGGACGGCCAAGCAACTCGTTAAAGGTGTCGTGGGGTAGGCGACAGGTGCTTTAACAGTATGCAATGGGGGGTCCCAAAGTTAGACGTTAACGGACACCTGTGGTGGTACTTGAGCCGGTTCAAACCTTGGAATGGGGCTGAGCACGGCTTTCTGAATCTGTAACTTGTGGTGAAGGAAGAGGGAGAATCGAAAGAAAAAGCCGAAAGCAGGAAGCTTTTGACAACCACGACCTTACAGGAACAGTTTAATAGAGGTCTGGAAAAAGAGGACAGCTGCTGCGTGCAGGGTGATGGAAAGGGAAAGGGGAAGAAGGAAGGGAAAAAAGAGGAAGGGGGGTGGGTAGGCGAGGTTGTAGTGCAGCAAAGATATGGATGCCCCCCGGCAATTAGCAGCGATGGGCGTGAGAGAAAAAAAAAATCGATTTCTTCGTCTGTAGTGTATTCGTAGGTATTTCCCGCCCCTCTCTCTCTTTCCTTTGCCTTTTCCTTTCCCTTCTCTATGGTGTGTTTACCGCATACTGTGTGGCAGGTACGTGTGTAGTTGCGTAGGTACCCTCTCTCTCCTTGCTCCTGCTCTTGTTCTGGAAATTGAGGTTCACGTTGACGCGATCAAGCCCGCCCAATCCAGGATCCGGCAGGCGATGTACAGTCACGGATACTTGGTAGAGTGGAGCTTTCTACCCGCCAGCAGGTGTTGGCACCTTGGCCGGAGCGCAGCCCGCATGTACCTGGTACAGGGAGACGACACCCAGGTCCCACTCTGCAACTGTGAGGGAGAGAGCAGGATGGAGGGGGCCACTTGTCCAGACAGAGACTCCAGACTCCCAGCGTCGGCCGTGGCAAGCGTGGGTGCGACTGCGTGGTACGCCACCCTCTCAGGGGCTCCGATGGGACTAATATTAGTGCTGCCAATCTTGGATAGGGGCCGCAAATCAAGCTCTGCCCGCTCACCCACGTTCTGGTCCTTGGCATCTCACCAACGACGTGACTAAGGCAAGGTACCACGGCACCTGGCTCCTCTCTTTTTCTCACCTCAGAACCTTGAAGTATTACAGTGGGTGAGGCTTGACTCTTGAGCAGGTCGGACGACGGCGATGGCGCTGCAGATAGAGTTAGGAAGGTCGTTTCTGCCATGGCTCAGCATAGCAAGAGCTATGAAGATCAATCGAGTCTTGGTACCAGACCTGAGAAGCGATACTTGACTCTTGTCAATGAACCCTCATGAAAGTGATCCGCTTCCTATGGATACCTTCAAAAGCACTACAACAACCTAGTCCTAATGGGACTCGAGAGCGGTATATTGTGGCAGGCACTCGATATTACATTGGACTGCATCTCATGCAGCTCTTGTCCCCTTGGCCGATATGTACATGTAGCCGTACCTTGCAGCCAATCCGGCCGTTTACAGATCCAGTGCTCCGTATCATCACTAACATCATCCATACGTGCTACTCAACCCCCATGGTGCTAGGTATTCGCTGCTGTGCTAGGCGAAAAGAGGCTCTTACTGTTGGTTAAGAGAATTGGATGATTGCTCCGAAGGGGGGCCAAGCCACCCCGGCCTCGCCTCAGTCTTGCAGTCTCACACATCGGGCCTTGACCTTACAGCCGCAGCTAAGGCAGGTCTCGGTCAGGTCTTGTCACCAGGGTCCAAATGACATCTCAATGCGTTTGTCACTTGTGGCCGTAGGCTGTAGCATAGTTATCGTCAAGTCTATCTTTAAGGCCATGGTCTCTGGCCATGTGGTAAACTAGGCCACCTCTAAACTCTGGAACTGGCACGCATTCTTAGAGCCGGTAACCGTGAGGTATACATACTGCCCTATATGACTATATGACTATATTTGGTGACATGAGCTGTGTATCTGAGATCTAGACGCACTATCTCTCAACGCTGCAATTTAAACTGGTCTTAAAAATAAGCTAGAAGCCGCAGGAGAAAAGAAGAAAAGAAACTTGCTTCCCTTGGAGGGAGGCTCATGCATTAGCACCATCCATACCTTAGCAAAAGTAAAGTAGTCCATACTGCTTCCGTCCGTCTTCTACGGCGAGCACTAACTTGTTGCTCTAACAAGATGGCATCATTCCTACTATGGGCACCTTCCTCGGCTGTAATTAATGTCAGACTCGCGCTTGCTTTACTGGTTACATACCCTTCTCGAACACGTGCGGACGCGGTTCAACACCCCATCATCCTGCCTTCCGTCACTATCCGTATCAGTCGGTGCTTCCTTCTCGCGAGGTGCCACGCTGCCTTCCAGGTTTGCGCGGGTAAGACCGCTTCGGATGGGATGCCGCCTGTAGTCGCACCTTCCATGTCACTTGCGTTTTCACATCTCCAAGTCTCAGACCCCCAAGACGTTGTCTTCTCTTCCCGAGTCCTTCACCCTGTGAGGGACCTTGACACCTGGACTATCGCGCTTGACACGAACAAGGTCCCCGAGACACCCGGCCAAGTTTGTCGCTTGTACTCTGTACATGCAACTCAGCCATTCCCGTTTCCTATCATCTGCATCCAAGTTGACTGCCCTTTCATCCCACGAGTCGCGAGCTGGTGGGACCCTAGGATTTTTCACTTGCGGATACCTTACCCAACCTAGACTTTGGATTGTCCTACGACTGACAAGCACAGCCCTCGCTCCTGTTCACGGCTCTTGTTCTCGTCGCCTCCAAGGACCGAATCCGTCGACGTGTCGCTCATCAGTGCGCCAAATTGGTGATGAATTGTTCCGGAAAGCGGAATCCGGGACGTGGGTGCTGGTCCCTGGGTCGCGGCTCCAAGCTGCCCCCTGGACCTCCCATCGCCCTACTCTGAAAGATGGGACGCCATCTTCGCCATGCCACGCCTTGAGGCGCCTTTCGGGTTTACTCGGACAGATGGCAGATCGTGGACACCGGCTGCTCGGGTCCTTTGTGTGTTCGGGAGGCTGAAGCCTGCTCGCCTCGCGTCCTTCATGCTTTCGGACATCATCTCTCGGCCCCGAAGAGTTCATTCCAACTTCTGCGTCTAGCCAGGTCTCACTTCAGCCTTACTCATCCTGCCTCTTGCGTGGCTGCCACACTCGCCGTACCAAATCCTTCCTCAGTACGACTATGTCCAAACTCAACGGTGACGAGTGCCGTGTGGCATGTAGCAAGTGGCATGTGGAACGACAATTCAGATACCGGAGCCGACAACTAAGCCTCGACTCAACACGCCGCTTCTGCAAAACCAAACCATCGATACGTGGTACACTCAGAAAGCTTCGAGTTTGTGTTTGCGACAAGGCTGCGACTTTTCATCTTGGAAAGGCTGACATAGCTGGGGATTGTCAATCTCTCATTGGGTCCGTCCGTCTGGATCTATTTAATGGGACATGCATCTTGTCTTGCATCTCCTTGATGTTGCTATTTGTGTTTTTTGGTCGCAGGGTTGCAGCTTGCTGTCCTACATTAACCCGTGACCTGTGTATACAGCACCAGGTATCCGAATGTTCATCAGACGAAAGTATTTACCTCCGGGCCGCTCGATGCTACACATTCGTACTCGCTCGACGAGTGAGTGATCACAGCCTCGATACCAAGCATTCTGTCAGCCAAAGTCTCCGCTGCAATTCTCCAGCTGGGGCTGCTGTTATTAGAAACTCAGTGTTTGGAGTGCTTCCCTGAATCGGCGGCTGATCAATTCGACATTCATGCGGTGCCCCGAAACTGGCCAGGCTGATCTACAAGAGGCCCAGTTTGTCTGTTTCAGAATGTTGATGAGATGGGTCCCGTACCCCTGTGCCGGCTGCCGGGCAGGCATTCCAGCAAATGTCTTGTTCGGGGGAGAGGCCGTCTTTCGATACTGGAGTACGGAGTACGGAGTATGGAGGTGGTGCTGGGGACGACACGCGTGCTCTAATCCACGCACACAGAGATGCCTGCCAAATGGACCACTTGCCAACTGACGGACCGATGGTCAACATTTGGTGATCGACTTTCACAGCCTCCTTTGCTGCTCCGCAAATGAGAGGCAGGGGCAATCCCACATTGGGATGGAAACGTCAATCGCCAACAACCAAAGCTGGCAAGGGATCCAGAACGACGTCTGTTTGTAACAACTACCGACGGATCGAAATTAAGTCGTGATGCTCCATCAACAGTCCAACGCGGACCCAGCGGTGACGACAACAGATCAGGAGTGAAGAGAGAGCACGGGGAGATTTCCCAGATTGCTAGATGTTCATACGGTGGCACCTGGCCCGAGTGCCACCTGTCTCCCAGTCCCTTGCACCGTTTTGCCCTGGCTCATCTTATTTCCTTAGCACACAAAGCACAACGAGCTCGCTGGCTCCGTGGGGGCAGCACGGGCATTGGCAAGGCGAGAAGAAATAAGAAAGACCAACTTCAAATCTCTTGAGACGACGATCGCTGAGTGAAAGGCGAGATGCAGACCACCTCGCACCAGCGCGGGAAACAACGATATCCCTGCTCGCATCTTGATTGGCGATGCACGAAGTTGATGAAAATGAGCAGATGGAACATGGGCTTTTGCAAGCAGGCGATTGGAGCGCCCCATCCCGCTAGGATAAAGTGCGGGTAGAGGCGACGGGACACTGGATCACAAAACTGTTGGCGTTCCTTTTCGGCTTGTCTCACTGGCGCAGAAGCAAAAGCAGCTTGAGGCGCGCCGGCATGAACGTGGTCCAAAACGTCGACGAATATCACGTTTCGGCTCTTTGTACTTATTCGTACGGAGCAAAGGTACGGTTGGGTATCTGTCTGCGACTCAGGCTCGGCCTTGGACGCGTACCCGACTCATGGAGAACCGCCGAGTTGTCGCCAGGCCGAAACGATTCACAACAAGCCCTGGTGTCATTGCTGCTGTGCGGGACAACAAATTGAACAAATTGAGGCAAGTTTGTTTTGCTGCTTTGCATGACGGCTTCTTGACGAGCTGCAGCGTGCCCACGGAGGTGGGATTGCGCTCATTTTATGAGATTACACTGAGCAGGGTTCCGTTATCGAAGACATCGCAACTCGGCTTAGGGCTCTCCAATCTAGACAATCTCAGAGAAGGCGGGCTGCAACAGGTCCAGACTACCCTACCTTAGGCGCCCCGTACTTCATGTCACCATGGAGGCTCTGTAGCACGCGAATCAAACCACAGAGAAACGTGGTCGACCATCTGGCTAATGTCCGAGAGATAGCCAAGATGAGTCGAATCCTTCCCCGGCCAACCATACCAACTTGGTTGGTCAAACCCCACGGTCCACGGAAGGATGACAATGTGGCGGGAGCGGCAGCGGCAGCGGCAACGGTAGGTACACAGACGCAAACGAAAACAATGACAGGTGAAGGCTTGAAGCCCCCCAAGTCTGAGAGTTTGAGCGAAATGACGGACGGCAGCTGCCCGACTGGGAAATGGAGGCGAAAACAACGTGTGAATGCAGATTGACAGTGGGTTTTGAGTCGAATTATCAAAATTATTAGCGCAAGCCACATCGAAGGTCCAACCCACTTCCGAATGGCGGAGAGATTGGCACGCCACGCCAGCATCTGCCATCCGGGAACTGGCAGTTCACGGGTCAGAGAAGCGCCGCTCATTGCCAGGACGGTACAATATGGATACAGCCAAACGCCTCTTTGGGCAACGACCGAAGTTGTCCAAGACTAGGAGTTCAGAGCAACAACGAGTTAGCCCGAAGAGGATCGTGAACTTCAGGAGCCAGCATAGGATCTGCGTTGCCGGGAGTCCGGGACAGGGTAAGGAGCGGCAGCGGGCAGCAAAGCCAGCACCAACAGCGTCCGACAAACTGATGAGCAATTGACCATTCGGAAGCGTTGCTTAGACGGCAGGACCAGGGACCCTGCAGAGGACGAGAGAGAGAGGCACATACGTAGTATGGTTGCTGTCGATGCCCTTGGGCCTTTCTGATCCCTCTGTTCTGGTTTGCCGGCAGCTGATGAAGGTGCAGCATCTCGACGGAACCAACGCACTGTATCCCCGACGGGAGGCGGTCAACAAGAGACGTGCATATAGGTTACCATTGCCTTGGCGGTCAGTCACCGTCTACTGCGGTAGTGTGTGAAAAGGTGGGTGGGTGTTCACTGGTGGGTGCTGCGGCGCGCGAACGGTGCGTCGAGGCCGAATTAGACTGGAGATTTTCATCAATCAGAATGAGGAGCAGCAGCCGTGAGGTGTGTGTTTCCGAGTTTCGCGACAACCTTTCAACGACTACGGGTACGCTCGACATAGATTCGAGCACTGTTTAACTCCATCGTTTTGCATTACTAGAGGATTACCGTAGTACATATAGACGCTACCCTACCCTCGAATTCCGCACTATTTAACCTTAACCCTTTTTTTACTTATTCTTTCCTCTATTCTACCCTCTTTTTTATTAAGAAATTACTAAAATTATAATTTTAATAGCTTATTAATAAACTAATATTATTATTTAAAAATAAATAACTTACTTTTATATATAAGTACTAAGAGTTTTATTATTATAAAAATAGTAATAAATATATTAAAATACTCAAGAGAGCTTTTTAATAAATTTTTAATACTATTTAAAATAATTATCCTTAAGTTATAAAAAAAAGCCGAGGCGTTATATTAATACGGTTTTATCCGTTTTATTAATATTAATAATACTCTTTTTAATATAAAATATATTAATAATACTCTATAATTACGTTATTATACTTCGTAAATCGTACTTAATATTAATAAGGATTTTAGTATTATTTACTAAGTATTTTATTAAAATTATTATCGTAAGGTTAGTTTAGTTATTAATATCTTAGTAAGTATTTTAACTTAACTTAGAGGCTCTTATAGCTCTTAATTAAAGGCTTTTAAAAAACTTATAATTAGACTTTTTATTTATTATAAGTAAAGCTATTATAATTAAAACTATAATATTACTTATAGACCTCGATAATAAGTAGTTAGTAATATAATTATTTTTTTTTTATAATAAGCTTAAAAAAGTATTTTAATTTAAGTATTAAATAGGTACTATATTATTTTATTAAAACTATATTCTTATACTTATAACTTAGAAAGAATTAACTTTCTTTAATAATAAGGTACTCAGATATAGATTCGAGATTGGGTTGTGAACCTTACGGGCCCTTCCCTGTGCCTGTCTGTCGTTGATTACACTACGGACGATCTGCATGTTTGAAAGTCAATCTCTTTGAGGTGTCAAATTGGTAGGGTGACTTGGCTAATAAGTCTGTCGCAGTCTGCTATGCTTCTTCCCGTCATGCCTGCCCGCCTGTATCCTTTGTTGTTACTTTGTTATGAGTCTCTGCCCGCTGCTAGTATCCATACTTACTTGTGTCTATGATGGAGGGGTTGCAACTTGCGGACCTATTGAGGGTGGATCATGAACTGTTCCTCTTGGGTTCTTCTACGGCCAAACACCAACCCCTACTAGTGTATTGGAACGGGTTGACGGGTGCGTGTACGTACGTGGTTAATGGGCACCTATGGGGGGAGGGGACAAGGAAAAAATGGGAAAGTAGGGAACGTGTCCTCGAGTCCTTGGGGAAGCGAAGGCGAGTTTGCCTCCACATCTCTCTCCATTTCCCGGTTTCCAGACCGCACAAACGAGGACTGTGGAGGAGGAACAGGACAAACCAGGCCAGGCCAGACCAGACCCAGGTGGATGGAGGGTGTATGGCCCATATCTTTCTTCCATCCCACCTTTGAACCTCAACACGGGCCTGATCTCGGATCATACTCACGCTCGCGGCTCACGTCTATAATGCCTCACTTTTTTGGGACCGTTGACGGCTGATTCGGGCGTTCAGCCCATGTCTCTCGAGGCTCGGTCTCACTAAACCTCCCTACGTACGAGTGGTACGGTCATGATCATATGGCTCAGTGCCTTTGCGTCGCGAGAAAGCAAGAAAAAACCCCACCCGTCTCTTATGATGTCGTCTGCGAAGCCAATTACAGGCAACCCACACTCTCAACTCTGTAACCCGCCGTGGGTCGCAGGAACTTACCCAGGCCCCGGTGCCGCTATTGGAGACACTCGGAGACTGAAATCAGTGGTATGCGGTATGTGTATCCGGATGGCCTGTCTTTTAAACGGTGCGCGATGGTGGACAAGCTTCTGGCAGCTCCACTGTGGTGGCTGTAACATTGGCATCCGTCGTCCTCTCGAGCAAGAGTCTCAGCTTTCAAGTGAGTCGAGAGTCTCCCCCTGTATTGCTGTGTAAGGCTAGTGGTGAGCATACGGCCGCCGCGTCTTTCTTCTTTCTCCCGCTCCCACATGAAATCATGAAATGCCCAGACTTCCAGAGTCCAGAGGTTGGGGGTTCATATGAGCAAGGGGGGCAATGGAAAGGAAGCAAGCAAGGCAAGGCAGGCAAGCGTGTGGCGAGCCAGCACGAGGGCCCGGCCTGGGGTTGCGGTTCGCTGCCGTCCGCGCCGCCCGTCGACGTTCCCGTTCCAGTTTTGCTGTGCAGACCAGGGCCTAGACCCCTGTGAGAAGGAGAAGGAGAATGAGAATGAGACTGAGGTGGTCTGTCTTGGCTCATGACGGACGAGGGAGCGAACTTGAGCCTGGGTGCGGGCTGTCATCTAGACAGAGTGCGGCACGGGTAGTGAGAGGCCTGAGTCTGTTCCGTGGATGAGATAATGGGCAAATGCTAGCATGGTCATTCGGCGGCGGTTGCCACGAGGCAAGGAGAGTTTCTGTCAAATAAGACCTTGTCTCAAATTGTCGGGACAAGATGCGCCGGGACGTAGGAAACGATTTTATTATACATAAAGACGGGATGCACACGCGCTTGGCCGCTTGCTTTACTTGAGAGCCTCGTTTGGTGACAGCGAGGCACATGGTGGCTGCAGATAAAGTAGCTTCGACGCCAGCCGCCAATTCGGTAGATATAGCAAGCAGTAAATCTAGCGTACGGTGTATCGGGGTGTCTCCACCATCTTAACCACACCTCGTCGAGACTCGACACTGGCGATTCAATTGGTGCTGGAGATCTATAGCGATAGCAGTATCTTGAAGAGAGAATCCCATTGGCAAAGTAGAAGAAGCGTACCCTTCAAACGGCAGCACTGGAGCGTGTGTGTTCTCGGCGGCAGTGGTGGTGTCGATGTTGCGATTATCTCAAAATGTGGGGGCGTGTCTAGTACCTTGGTAGAAGAGCGCGGCGTGCCTTCCATGAGATGGTGGACGGAGCATCTTGGAACATGACACTAAGGCCCAGGTAAGGTACCTTAGGTATGTACATAGCAGGCACGGTACGTACCGTTTGGCACTTGGCACCCACCCATGAAAGACACCAAATGTGAGCTTCATGTTCTTGACCAGGGGGCCCCGCTAAACCCCTTGTCCCAAATAATAATTTGGCCCCTCCATCACAGTTGCGGTGCGGGAAGGAAGCAGGAAGTAACAGCGCAGCAGCAGCAAGTGGCAGCAGAAGCAGCACCACCACCACCATCTTCCGTCCCCTCAGCCAGCAAGAACCACCAGTCAGTCAGGCACCTCATTACCTACCTCCCTCAGTCAGGAAGCAGGTACACACACCTCGCCTCCCAGTCGAGTTCGGTACCTGGGCAGTCTAGTCCTGGTGTGTGTCCCCTTTTTCTCTGGAACCGCTCGAAACCAAAAACCCATATCTACAGCAACGACCACGGCTACCACCTCCCGCGCGACTTTTCTTTCCTCCTCCTTCCTTTCTTTGCTGCCAATCCTCAACTTCGCTTTCTCTTCCCCCTCGGTGCATCTCTTGCTCCTTGATCTTGCAATTCTCCTCTTGTTGCCAGATCTTCCTCCACAAGAGCCGCTCTCTTTCTGTTGCTGCTTCCCCAACACCTTCTACACACATCCCCCACCATGGCTGACATGTGAGTTATTCCTCCTTGTCCCCTTTCCGTCCCAAATGTCTTTCGCTTGCCCATTGCGCCCATTCCAGAGCCACGGCTCCGGATCTGCATGGCATTCCAGACGCCCAAATCATTGAAGAATCTCGACTGACTGTGTTCCCCCTCATTTAGCAACGTTGACGTCTTGGTTATCGGCGCTGGCCCGACCGGTCTCGGTGCTGCGAAGCGTCTGAACCAGATTGTGCGTCCTCA